TAATGCACACCCTGGGAGGCAGCAATGATGGCTCAAGTAGTTGGGTCCCTGCCACCTACCTGAATTGAGTTCCCAGTTTGCAGCTGGAGGCATTAGGAATGAAGTAGCAGATGAGAGCTTTTTCTCTGTGTCTGTCTCTGTTTCTCACCAGTCTCTCTAATGAAAATTTTTTAAAAATTGATTCTCTGTTAAGAAACTGTGGGATATTTTTGCTTCTTCACTACAGGTTATTCTGAGAGCATACATCATAAGCAAGTTGCTTTCTGGACAGTTGAGGTTTTACCCAGCTGTGTAGAATCCACATCAGGACAGACTCAAATCAATCCCAGTGCCCTGAGATGACCTTGAAGGTAAGACTGACAAACCTCTGTTCATACACATGAAATGCCCGGTATTAAAATTATCACAGGAGGGGCATTTTCTGTTTCTGAAGAAGCAGGATCAATCAACTTAAAATTATGAGGTAAATATCCTCAAACATTACCTTCTCAGAAAACAGAAAGCTGCCTGGAACAGGGGTTGTTTTTTCTCTGTATCCACAGAAACCAAGTGTGTCAGTCCAACGAACCTCTTAGAACATGGTTACCTCCAAGTCTCTGCGCATCTAGTTATATTATCTCACCAACCATCTTGTAAAATGTTACAGGCATCAATAAAATCACTGGAAAGCATTTGGAACAAATATAAAACTGACACTCGATGGTACTGTCGATAAAACTTCAATTTTTTCAGAAATAAGAATACCATGCAAGGCTAGCATAGTGGTGCAGTGTGTTAAGCAGCTTCCTGCAAAGCCAAGATCCCATACGAGAGTACCAGAAGCTCTGCTTCCTATGCTACTCCCTGCTAATGCATCTGGAAAAGTAGTAGCGGATGGCCCCAGTACTTGGGCCCCTACCACTCATGCAGGAGACCAGGATGGAGTTCCAGGCTCCAGGTTTCAGCCTGTACTGGCTTCGGCCAGGATCAACACCAGCCACTGCAGCCATTTGGAGAGTGAACTAGCAGATGGAAGGTCTCTTTCTCTATGTGTGTCTTCCTCTCTCTGTCACTCTGCCTTTCAAATAAATAAATAAATCCTAAAGAACAAAATACCATGAATTTGTTCAAACTACATATTAATTTGTTAGAAAGTGCTGTACAATACATATTCCTAAATATGAAAGTAATTAGTAGGATGTGAAATTGATCGAAGTATAAACTTTGAAGAAATAAGCTAGTCACAAATCACTGAGATCACTAAGATCTTCTTCGAGGAGACTCACAGAGAACACGAAGCCTGGAAAAGCAGGGAGATAATCAGGAGTGGGTGACAGGGTACATCTGGCCCAGCAGTTAAGCCACTAGTTAGGACACCTGCCTCCCACATCAGTGTCTGGGTTTGATACTTGGCTCCAGCTCCTAATTCGAGCTTCCTTTAATGCAGACACGAGGAGACATCAGTAATGGCTAACGTACCTGGGAGGAAGCAGATGAAGGCCCAAGTACTAGAGTCCCTGACACTTACAAAAGACACCCAGATGGAGTTCCTGGATCCTGGTTTGGCCTAGCCCAGTCCCAGATGTTGCAGCCATCTGGGGAGCGAACCAGCAGATGGGGGATCTTCCTGTCTGCCTCTCCCTCTCTGGCATTTCATCTTTCAAATAAATAAATCTTTTAAAAAATTAGGAAATGGCATGAGGAACTTTCTCAGACAACAGCTACATTTTCCACCTTGCCAGGGCCCGATTGACACAGGTATATCTATCAGTCAAAACTCAACTTATGTACAAATAAGGATATGTGCATCTCATTATATGTAAATTTCATACAAAAACCATAAAAATTATTGGGCTCTAATTAATAATAGGTGTGCTGAAGTATACAAAATGATCACTGAATTCTTTTAAATGCATCCAAAACAAGTTGGTGAGATATAAAGTCCAGGTAAATGGGTAGATAGGTGATAAAAGAAATAAAGTTTAACAGTGGAATCTTCATGGCTAATATACAGTTACTCCCTATAAAATTCTTTCAAATGACCACATGTTTGCAATTCTCAGAAAAAAATGCTGGAGGAAAAAATATAAAGGGAAAGAAAGAGCTTTGAGTAACACACTTCCACCCCCACACTTAGTTCCTTCCCTTCAAGAGTTCACACTGTATCTAGGACCCTAGCAGAATATGTAAGTTGGAAATTCAAGGTGCAAGTCTAACAAGCTGAGACTTGGAGAGTTTTAAAAAATCAACTGCCTAAAACTGGTTGATTACACTGGGAAATTGTATGCTAAGTGATGGAAAAGAAGCAGTTCCCCACAGATAAAGTTTCTATATTTAAATTTACAGAGAGCTGAAGTGGGGCACCTGCAAGTCAGGTTGGGCAGAAGATGCCATAAAGACTCAGGTGCAGGATGCAAATCAAAGCCAACACACATAAAAGGCTCCTGTTGGGTGGGAAGAGACAGCAGATAGGAGGAGCAGATGAGTCCTGGGAGGCTGGGACAATGGCAAAAAGAAATTTGTTCTAAGAAGCAAAAAGCAGGGCTGCCAACGATAATGAGTCCCAATTCTGTGCATTCCTTCCAGGGAAAACAGCAGACAACAGGTTATCAGCTATATCAGCCATGAAGGATCCAGTGTCTAGTGAATTCACCTCACTCACGGTCTCAGTCATGCGCTTCCCAAACAGGTTGCCCATCATGCATAGACCATGTCTACTGCATAAAAATAATGGAGCAGTTACTTGATATTTGATGGTGCAACTTCTCTCTATCCAAAGTGTGGTGCCTGAACCAACAGCATGGGCGGCACCTAGGAAGCTCATCAGAAATGCAGGGTCTCTGGTCTCACCCGACACCTGCTGTGTTGGAATATGCAGGTAACAACATTGCAATGATTCACATACACAGTAAAGTATGAGGAGCAGTACAGAACTTGACAACAAGCCTGTAGAGTGAGCCTCAATAACTTACATCTTCCCAAGAGCTGCTTTGTCTTCACACACTCTGGACAGGTAAAGGTGAACTAGTCAGCAATAGTAAGCTTTGTACACCTTGTCTCCTGTAAGCAGCTTTCCTGACAACTGCTTCTCCACCATGTATCAGTCCTAGACTCTATGTAAGAAGAGAACTTAGCCACCAAAGTCCATGGAGAGTCTATAAAAATAAAACACAGCTGAACCTAACTTGAAAACTTCGGAAAGTTTCATATCCTTCAATCTGTCTGGAAATATTTTGTATATCTCTGGTGAGCAGATCACATTGCATGCAATTGCTCTTTACTGTAAAAAAAAAAAAAAGAAGTGTGTATAATGTTTTCTCAATATAACTTTTGAAGGAGTTCTCCAGCACTGTCCCATTTCAGTTATTAGAGACAGCAATGAATACTCTCCACTCACCCTTAACATCAGCCACAGAATATCTTACTTTATATATATATATAATATATATATATATAAATCTAAAGTAAGTTTATCTAAGTATAATGTTTTGTTTCAGTCACTATAATAAAGACTGTTTAATAATTAAATAACTGTGGCTAGACACAGTTCAAACAAAACTGCAGGTTTGCTTTTTCTTTCATTAATCAATATTTAAAAAAATTTTTTTTTTTGACAGGCAGAGTTAGACAGTGAGAGAGAGAGAGACAGAGTGAAAGGTCTTCCCTTCCATTGGTTCACTCCCCCCCCCCCCCCAAATGGCTGCCACGGCCGGCGTGCTGTGGCCGGTGTGCTGTGGCCGGCGCACTGCGCTGATCCAAAGCCAGGAGCCAGGTGCTTTCTCCTGGTCCCCCATGTGGGTGCAGGGCCCAAGTACCCGGGCCATCCTCCACTACCTTCCTGGGCCACAGCAGAGAGCTAATCCATATGTTTTTAACGATCTTCAGATATTTCTCATAGAAAAAAAACAAAGTATGTGATATGAAATATTTTTATAAAACTATCTGAAAACAATAAAATTGTGTACTAACTGCAAGTTTTGGACTTCAGCATCCCTTCTCTGTCCATGAATATTATATGAAAAGCAGTTTTTAGAAATATGTCCACCAGACAAACCAACTCCTAAGTTATTGATTTCCAAAGGTTTATTTCAGGAAGGAATTTTTTGCAGTGATTCATTAGCTTTCCAAGATAATGAATATGTCCATTTCTAAGACAATATGCAAAAACACATTTCTGTTCTCACTTATTTAGGAAAAGAGATTTTTAAAAAATAATCATTTCACCTATCTTAATATAGTCGAACAAAAAAAAGAGAACCAAAGCAAACTACTGAAATATATCTCATACTTTCACTATTAAGTTATGAAAAACAAAAATAAATGAGCTTTTGTAAGTACTTTATTTATGATGGAAAATATGTTTAACATTATCTATGCTTTATTGCATTTTTTAAGCACTTACAGAAAGTATTACCAAGAAACTGGTTAGTATTTTAAATACTTTATTTTTACAGCAGTTTTAGATTCACATCAAAATTTAGCAAAAGGTACAGAGACCTCACATGTATCACTACCCTCACATACATGGTTAGTATTTAAAAAATGGAAATTGCTAAATAGCACACACATAAAATCATATGAGTCAGGCAAATCATACCCATAAATACATTACTGAAAACCCATTTGTGTTACACTTAAGTTTAGAGAAATTTTATGAAGAAATATTAAAATAAATCTATATCTAATTAATGTCAAAATTACCACAAAGTGACAAGGTCTAGTATACTTTATTGACTTAATTGTGTTTTGAGTTCTCTTATTAGAAAAGCTAAAGAAAAACTCAACAGTCAATAAATAAAACAATTTGCATGAAAATATTTGAGTGCTCTATGCAATTTAAAGACAGGAATATTTTCTTATTTTTAAACCACTCTATATACCTATAGCTGCTTGCCTTCGGGAAGCATGAAGATAAAATTGAGATAGCCTTTTAAGAAGCTATAAAACCATAAACTTATCAAAACAGTTCCCAATGTACATGTAACTTCCACTCAAAGCTGTTTTCCAGTATGTTCTCTTACCTGAAAGGGAGTAGGATTTCAGCTCCACGCAGTCAGACCCAGACTCTCAAGAGCCTGTCCAAGGCAAAGGGAGAACTTCAGGGCAGTTCTTGAAGAGGCTCACTCTTTCCAGAGACTGAGGATGAGGCAACCAGTGACTGGCACTGGTCCTCTCAGGCAAGGTCCCACCCACTCCTCAGCCACAAAGTGAGAGGCTGGGCCAATGGTGCCTGTGGTGACACAATATCCAGACCCAGTGGCTGAGACACTGTTTCAACTATTCTAAGCAAGACAACAAATAGAGCAAGGGCTTTTTACATTACAGGCATACTGCCGAGTAACACTGCCCGGGAATGACCACTAGATCACGAGGAAGCCTACACCTGAACCCTTCCCTAAAACAGATCTTTGGGTTTCCTATATCGAGGCTACCAAAAAAAAAAAAAAAAATACTGAAGAACTCAAGATGTAAACCGAAAGGAAAGCATTAACTACTGATCACCCACAACTCAGAAAATTTAATAACTTGGTTGTAAAATGTTCAAAATCTTTGTTTTAATCTCCTCAAACTGATTGTCACTTTCTGCCTATTTTCTCCCTTCAGAGTTCAAGTCCAAATAATAAATACAGCTTTTTAAAAATTTAAGTCACTAGTAGAACTGATATGTGTGTGTGTATATATATATATATATTAAAAAACTAATATCTAAAGTGAAGCCCAAGGATTATCTCCCTTGCACAAAGAGTAAAATGTTGAGATTTCTGTCCTGGAAATATACCTTCACAGGCTTTTAATTCTATATCAAATTAACATGTTAACACACATGTTGTTATATATAACTCCCTAGAGTGCTACCATTACCAAAAACATTTCAAATAAACATTTCTCAAAAATGTGCCAGAGACTGTAAAATGTTCTATAAAACAAATTTCCAGGGTGAAGTTTTAGGATGCTCCTACACCAACATAAAGGGAATTTTATACTGCAAGATTTCTGAGTTTTGTGGGTTTTCTGGAGAGGTGGTCAGACAGACAGAAGAAGCTCCCCCTTCTCTGGTTTACTCCCTGCAATGGCCAGAGCCGGGCCAGAGTCGGAGCTAGGAGTTGGGAACTCAATCGAGGTTCCCCATGTGGGTGGCAGGAACCTAATTACTTAGAAGATCACCATTGCCTCCCAGGGTCTACATTGGCAGGAAGCTGAAATCAGAAGCTGGAGCTGAGAACTGTTTCATTTTTGAGCTTTTTATATACTCATATTCATCATGAATTTGAGAAGAGATAGCTAATGCTTCGTTTCCCAAACTTATTTAACCATGGAACCCTTTATTTGAGGGGTAGCCTCAGAAAACTGTATTTCATTAGACAGATTTGAGAAATGTTACTAACCTTAGATTCCATTAGCCAAGTTTGAATCCATCAACCTAACATATGACACATTTTCAAAGAATTTAAAACATATTAAATTATTAAGTTTTCTATCTGTCCCAATTTGTGCTAGTATCTCTGGAACTACAGGGTGGTCAACTTCTAGATTTCTCAACATTATAAAGTTTAACCTGTTATTCTAAGTGGAAGCACTATATAGGTCTTTAATCGATACCTACTCTATTCCTCATAATATGCCAGAACCTATGAGGGACAGCACAGTGCCCAGCCTCAAGAAGCTGGACATTTTGTTTTGAACCTCTGCATTCATTATAGTGGCAGGTTCTGTTTTGTGGTCATCCATCTGCTCTCACCCCAAAAGCCAAATGTCACATCTCAGAGATAAACTTCAGCTAACATTTTCTACACAGCAGGAACCCAAGTCAAAATACTGACTCCAAGCCAAGAGTAACCATTAAGAATACCAACCTATATTCAACACCATGGCATCCATGCACACTAGAAGTCATCCAAAAGTTCATGGAAAATGTGTTATGGAAAAAAAAAAAAACAGCTTCACTGATTTCAAATTTCTTTGCATCAAAATAAATGTATTTTTTCATTCCACTTTCCCACAAATGTTTAGGTGTGTGCCTACTGTACATGCACACTTCAATCATTTTCACGCAAGTAGGTTCAAGAGAAAGAAATCTAATCATGGAAACTCCAGCAAACCATGTGTAAAACCTGACTCCCAACTCAAACCTGCATTTATCTCAAGTCCTAGAGCCCTGCAGTCTCCACACATCCCCAGCAATTCCCCTGTAACTCCAAAAATCCCCACAAATCCCCAGAAGCACCCACACAGTCTATTGTGCTGATTTATATGATGAAGTGGATTTCCAGGATAGAGCCACCAAAACAGATTGGTGGTTCACATGTCCTTCAGTGAAGTAATTGTCAAAACCAGATTCATCCACCTGAATATTCAAGAACAAATTGCTGGGGGGCAAACATTGTCACATTGGGCTAAGCAGCCACTTGGGACACCCACATTCCATTTTGGAGGGTTGATTCCAGTGCCAGTTCTTTTGCTTCCAACCCAGCTTCCTGCTATTACACCAGGGAGGCAGTAGATCATGGCCCATGTACTTGGGTCCCTGCTACCATGTGGGAGACTCAGATGGAGTTCCTGACTCCTGGCTTCAACTTGGCCCAGTGATGGCTATTATGGGTATTTGGAGAATGAAACAATAGACATAGATTTCTTTCTCTCCCTTCCTTTCAAATAAATAAATAAAACTTTTTAAAAATCCACACAAGCTATTTTTCCCAATCATGTACCTTTAGAGATTGAAATCTTTCTAAAATAACTTACAGTCTTCTGATGTTTTTAATAAGACATTTCGCCGGGCCGGCACCGCGGCTCACTAGGCTAATCCTCCGCCTTGCGGCGCCGGCACACCGGGTTCTAGTCCCGGTCGGGGCGCTGGATTCTGTCCCGGTTGCTCCTCTTCCAGGCCAGCCCTCTGCTGTGGCCAGGGAGTGCAGTGGAGGATGGCCCAGGTGCTTGGGCCCTGCACCCCATGGGAGACCAGGAAAAGCACCTGGCTCCTGGCTCCTGCCATCGGATCAGCGCGGCGCGCCGGCCGCGGCGGCCATTGGAGGGTGAACCAACGGCAAAGGAAGACCTTTCTCTCTGTCTCTCTCTCACTGTCCACTCTGCCTGTCAAAAAAAAAAAAAAAAAAAAAAAAAAAGACATTTCGCCGGCGCCGCAGCTCACTAGGCTAATCCTCTGCCTTGTGGCGCCGGCACACCGGGTTCTAGTCCCCGTCAGGGCGCCAGATTCTGTCCCAGTTGCCCCTCTTCTACACCAGCTCTCTGCTGTGGCCAGGGAGTGCAGTGGAGGATATCCCAAGTCCTTGGGCCCTGCACCCCATGGGAGACAGGGATAAGTACTTGGCTCCTGACTTCGGATCAGCGCGGTGCACCAGCTGCAGCACGCCGGCCGCTGCGGCCATTGAAGAGTGAACCAACGGCAAAGGAAGACCTTTCTCTCTGTCTCTGTCTCTCTCACTGTCCACTCTGCCTTTCAAAAAATAAAAAAAAATAATAAAAAAATTTAAAAAAAAAATAAAAAAATAAGACATTTCGTCTGCTGGTTAAGACACCCATGAAGATGCCTATATCCCATATCAGAGTGCTTGGGTTCAATATCCAGCTTTGGCTCTCAATTCCAGCTTCCTGGTAATGCAGATGCAGGGAGGTAAAGGGACAGCTCAAGTGACTGAGTTCCCACCACCTATGTAAGCAACCTAGCTTGTTGCCTTCCATACTGCTGGCCCCTGCAACTGCAGACATCTAAGGAGTAAACTAGTAAATGGGAGTCACTCTCTCGCTCTCTCTCTCTTTCTCTCTCTCTAAAGTAATAAAACACTTACATTTCTATTTCACATCTAATGAATAAACAGAAGCACAATCACATTATTCTATTGAAGAAATGACTACCATATGTGGTGAACAATTTTCACTTAGAAGAGGATTCAGAAGACATAGGATGATGTGATGTTAGACAAACAGCTTAATTTCCTTGAACCTGAATTTCTCCATGAGAATGAAAAGAGATAAACATGCATTCCAAAGCCTGAAACAAATGTAGGATATGTATCATGGTGCTAGGATATCTTGAGATGCTGGTATTTGCTGAGAACCAGGCATGTGACAAAAATCAGGGCAACGCAGCTGTGTCTCATTACCATAAATGGATTGTCCGGGACATCTTAAAAATGAATTGTGAAAGTAACACAAGTTTATTGAAAAAGTTCAGATGACAGAAGGCATATTTAAAAGTAAAAACTTCCTCCATCTTTCATAATAATTACAAACACTGCTGAGTTCTTGTTTACATCTGCCGTAATCACTTTGTTTTAGATGACTCACTCAAAATACAGTTTCTTTCTAGTGAATGAGTTTACCCTTCCTTACAATACAGTTTCCAACAACATGGTGGTTTTTCATCTTAATTCTATTATTTCATTTTGTTACACTTCCTGGGTTGCTATTTTCTTTTGTTCTTCAGTTTGCAACAGAATTTATTTAAATATGGAATGAAAGCTAAACAGTTATGGTACAACAAATAGATTGAAAATTTATATATCTTGTCAACTTAAAAAAAAAAGGTAACACAATCAAGAGATTGTAGAAGGTAGAAGAAAGTACATATGTGCTATTTTTAAATTATTTCATATCTAGCAGTCAATATATGCTGTTTACAGTTACCAAGTCTATAAAGGTGGGATTTTATTATATTGTTATTCACATTTGTAATAATTTATTAGCACTTAAAAATAAAAAAACCACAATATAAACCAAAATTTTAGAAATGAGAAAAAGGAAACATGGGTATTTTAGGAAACAAGAAAAATCAAATTAGGAACAAGTTCTGCTTCTCGAGGGACCCACCTGGGCCTTTGACCTCTGTACTGCAAATAAGCACCCGGGGCCTTGTTGTGGTAAAGACTCTACCTTCTGGGGCTCCATCAGAGAAATATTCTGATTTCCCTCAGAATATCAAATATCAAATTTGACAAACACACTTCAAAGGTTTAATATTGAGGGATAGCCATGTGCTGCTGTTATGTAGGTTTTTCCCTCCTACCTTTAACTATTTTTTCATCTCAGTAGCTTCAGAGATGCTCAAATTTATTTC